GTAAGAATACAAATATTAATAAGGCTTCCAGTCTGTAAATACTATTTAAAAGTAAAAAAGTAAATCTTTCATAGGAAATTTAAATCAATCAACTAAGTATTTTTCTTTTCATTCTTCATTGGATTTTTATTGATCAATTATTTTAAAACTATTTACTCTGCAAAAACAAAAACTTCATTTATTATTAAAAATTAGATAGCAAGTTTTTTTATTCCCTTAATTATCATTATAATAAATAGTTAAAAATGTGATTTTATTAATAAAACAAATTTAGAGTTTAAGCAATTAAAAATCTGATGAATTATATTCACAGTTCAAACCAATTTTTTAAGCTAAAAATAAAATTGAAATGTCACATTGACAATTTTATTTAAGGATTGAGAAAAATAAAATAAAAATAAATAGATAAATAAATAATCCTATATGTACCTATATACCCATATGCTTATTAATAAGAAATTGAGGAGACTAATTTTAAAAATCTTGTTTTACATCTTTTAAGTCTAAAACCTTTACTCAGTTTCAAGAAAAAATTCTTGACATTATCTTAAAGGGGCATGGACACAGTTTAAGCTAAAAATTTTCAAATTTATTTTTCAATTTTTATCAAATTATTAACTAGTCTTACTAATGATCATCAAAAATTTGAACTTCGGTTGTCGAGATACCAGACAGATTTAGAGCTCCAGACCTTTGTTATGTACATGTAAACATATGGTCCGTGTCATGTTTTGTTTACATAATGTTAATATACTAATATATGTTCGTACAAAGCAGATAATTTCAATAAAAAAGTTAATTTTAAATTCAATTAGTCAGTTTCGAGTGAATTCCTGAATTTCATTTTGTTATAAATTTAATTTCTATATGTAAACATAAAAAAGTTGAAACTGTGTCCATGCCCCTTTAAAGTACAAAATATATAATTAATGGGACATATCAAATAGTAATTGAAGTTAAACAAATAAATTTAATTTCATATTAAAATTCACACATTTTTTTCGATCATTAGTTTTTGGACAATATTTCACTTTGGATAAAATATCCTAGTATACAAAATTATTTTACGAATATTTAAAAACCATAATTCATAACACTAAAACAATACAATATGTTTCGGCTAAACATTTTTTACTGCAATAAAAGTGTGAAAACAACACATACATTCATATATGAACTATTTATTATTACTATCTCTGTTTCCCTTAAAATCTTATTCTTTAAGAAGTTAGATAATCTATAGCATTATGGAGTCTAGATGACTCAAATATATTATTTTATAGAATTAATCCTTTTTCCATAAGAGCATAATATTTTCAATATACTCAATATTACGGCTGGGTATTGACTAGAGATTTTATATTGCGTTATTTTTAACTGTAATGCAATATTTATTGCAATATTTTACGAAAAAAATTAAATTAATATTTTCTTATTCTAGCTATTTTATTAACTTTTTTTTACAAGCAGAATGTACATTACTATGAAAAATGACCAAGAAAAAATATCTTGTTGGTTTAATTTACAGTTTTGCATCAAAATACACATGCTGCAACATTTTGACAATTTATTTCTTAAACTTAATTTAAAAAATCAGAGTCCAAGAATTTTGCCAGAATATTGGTAAACTGGCACTCGACATGACATCTTTTTCTTTAAAATGAATATAACCCCATACCTAATTCATTAAGTACGGGATTTTAATTTTCTTTATTAGGAAACTATGTAACGTCAAGTGCCTTTGTATCGGTACTATAAAAAAATTGCAATGCAAATATTGCAATTCTGGAATATCAGTATTATTGTCTAGCATTCAATATATAAACAATTTTTAAAAATATTCAAATTGACATACTTTTGGTATTTAATATATCAACGCTTTTGAGAAATCTATTATCTCGATTGTTAAATCTTCATTGCAAATACAATCGTTATTCAAACTGCAGCAGTTAAATTGTCCTTGTGTATAGATTATTTTTCTAATTTTGAAAAATATAATTTCAACAATTTGCTGATTTCAAAATTTATATTTAAATGTCCAAGAGTGATTGTGGTGAATCTGTCAAATAATTAATTGTGAAAATTGAATGTGTAAATTTATGATACTTTCACTCCAAGCTCTTAATTTAGAGTCCTTTTACCAGGCAATCTCAAGCATGACACAGCAGCTAAATTTCCTTCTTCACATAAAATTTAATCTTTTGTTTTTCAAACAGATATGTATATAAATATATAATTTCATGTCATTGACTAAAGTTGAGTGTAAAATTTAAAGTATTAAGTGATATAAATATTCTCCAAGCCAAAAATAAGCAGAAGGGGGAACGGTAAAGGGTTATATAATTTTAGTGTTTTAAGAAGCACGGTGTTTCTCCTGAATTACGCCAGCTTGAAAGCAGAAAAATAGTGCACAAAGAAACCCGCATTTATCAATTTATGTTGATTAATTCATGTTGTAAATTGTAATTTTTGTGAACATTTCTTGTATATTTTGGCTGTCACATTCTCTCAGCCCAAGTATTTTTGACTATTTTCATCATAATTACATTGTATCCCTGTGCATTATGTCAATTATATTATTGATAAATATCAGTGATTTTTCTACAATTGTAAAAATTAGAAATAAAATTTGTGTCAAATTGGGAAAATCAGTAAAATTAACCAAAGTCCTATCTGTATTATATTGTATTGACAGGTATTAGAATAAAATATATACCAGGTAAGTAAATGTAACATCTTTTATTCTACCTATTTGTTACAAAATTTATGACAAATTATACAGAGTTCTACATTTTTAACTTTGTTTTATTTTTGATCATTGAAAGTAGATCCTATGTTCTCTTTTTTTTTTTTTGGCCATAATGGTAGACATAATAAAGAGATATAATCATTCCTGTTCTAGCTCACATTTAAGATGGAATAAACTTGACATAATTTATGTATTGCTGTAATTTGTCTGCAATCCTTATAGTTGCATCTGTTGGATCATGGAATGTTTGATTTTAATGGAATCAGGGATGCTCGTTGTAGAACTAGTAGTGCTTCGATTTACAAATAAATTAAGCTTTTGTTTCACTGATCGATTCACATGCATCTTACATTTTCCTACGACGTATTGACACACAAGTTTGACATGGTCAATGTGTTTTTCCAAGTCTTGTAAATGCACATAATAACCTGCTGTTCTTCACTTTTTTTAAGCCTGATTGACCCAAATGACCTAAAACAATTTTGTTACAATTTTAGTCATATGTGAAAAATTCAATATAACCAAAACACGTTTTTTTGGAAAAAGCAGTTGAAAATTGGGAAAAATTCAATAATTTTTTAGAGGGGAAAGGGTCAATATTCGGACCTAAACTGCAAATCACTGAATATTTTACCACTTATGGTGAAATATACCTCTGCTCCAAGTTTCACAATTTTTTTTTTTGAATTCTCAACACTGATTTCATCAACAACAATAGCATTAGATTCAAATGGAAAATAGTTTGAAGTATAGAAAGTTGATATGAAGAATCCAATTTAATAATAATATGGTGAATAGAAAGATCAATTATTTTTTATTTCATCATGAATTTTGAAGTAAAAATAATGAATTATTTTTTATGAAAATATCTAACCTATCTAATTCACACTGGAAAACATAGTGAAGCAATAACAATTAAGAAATGAATTTAATTTTTGAAGATTCATGAGTTCATGAACTACGACACTTCACACATATTTCATGAAGCGCGTTAGCCCTAGAAGTCACGGAGCATTGTGTTTTTGGCTCGCTGTATTATGACGTCACAATGTAAAGCTTTCACTCTCGTTAATGCTCATTTTGCTGCTTCAAATGTCTGTGCTTTAGCCAATCAAAACGTGTCTTACTTGTAAAACAATTGCATTAGAACAATAAAATTTAATTGATTATTAGAATAAAAAAAAAAAAAGATTTGTATAAGGAAAGTTATCTCTCTTATCAGAGGGATATTTCACATTAAGCAATTAATTTAATGAGGAATATCGTATATATTAAGCAGAATTTCTACTGAGGATTTTATAAGCGAGGTGCTGAGATAGCTAAAATTGCATATAGCTAAAAATTTATTGTGTTTTAGTTGTATTGCTTCTTTAGTGAGTATTTTAAAATGGCTAAGATTACTTTTCACTAAAAATAAAATACCACTTTTTAAGGACAATTTAATCGCTATTTGCCTCTCGCTAAAATTTCCAATTATATGGTAATGTACCACACCAAAAGTTCTATTTGATGAATCTTTGAATTACTTATCTTCAAATTTGGACAAATCCTGACTCAAACTTAACTGATTCTGCATAACCAGAATTAAAATCATTAATTTATAAGTAAAACTATAATTTGTTACAACAGAACTTTTTTTTTTACATTATAATTTTCTTTTTGAATTCAATTTTGACAGGTCTGGAAGATTTCAACCACACAATAAATAAATTCTAATAAAAGATATAAAATTATTAGTATTTGTATAATTATTCCTGATTTTTCATAAGATATATATTATCATTTAATTAATAACTAAATGCAAGTTTTTAGCAAAGAACTGTACATCTTAAATTGGTAAAAACCAAATTTTTTTATCATATTGCAAACATAAAGCTAAAAAAAAAACAACAAATAAATGAAAATGATAAAACAAACTTAATTAATAATGTAAATTAACAATTTGCATGTAGTCTTGCCTTGAAAAGGGACATAACTCTACATATTTTTTAAATTCAGTTGAAATTGATTAAGGTAATTCCAAAGATACACCAACTGACCATATTTGATATAGTCATACATTTAAGAAGATAGGATCAGAACACAAATTGACAATGAATAACTAAAATCTTCCCATGCAGACCAGTGACCTGCAATTTGAGTTCTGTTGCAAACCTCTTTCCCAAAAAGCATCACTTGACCAGAAGATTGGTGGTTTTAGATCTGTGGATAACATATGACTTAATATATCATCATTTAATTCCATATTGAG